TTCCGACATACCATACACACCCCAACTCAGCCTCAGCGCATGGATGATAATTGCAGGCCTGCTTCTTCCCCAATCCCACCCCACAATCACGTGAATTCGCAAAATCGCGTGATACACAAACTGATTGAACCCGGATGGGAATGTTATTGTTGACTGAAAGTGAGAAATTGAATGGATAGACGGTTGTGCTCAAGTTCACGGATTATCACACAAAAGCAAATGCATGAGAAAATACGTTGGTGCAAAATAATCACTTTTGTTTCCTGCTATCGATTAGGTTCACAGTGGTTCAATTCCAGGAAAAAGCAACTACGGCCCACTGGTTTGCGTCGGAGAAAATTGATTAGAAATGGATTGGGTGTGCAGTACACGTGTGCCACACATTTGAAAGCACCCCGGGAGCATTTATTTCATTCGCCCTGTCAGAAATCATTTGCAGAGCCCCCATCCTCTCCACCGAGGTTGTGATTTTTCGAACCTGTTTGTGCACCACCGGTGGTGTCTGCAATAATAGTTGGTTTCACATTGTTTGACAATTATTCGCATTCCACAACAGATATGGACCATTGCGAACGACACCTTTTCCCATAAATATTTAGCCAAAAACCCACTTTCCTTTACCCTCAACGCAGAAACTTTAGTGATGCAGCAGCAGGTTAGTCAGGCCAAAATTTACAAGTATATTTTGAAACCAAAGGATGTTGAAAAAAATATTTTCTACAAATGTTGATTTTGCAAAGCTTGGATGTTGACTGGAGAAGATTTAACCGATGTGCCCGTATCGTTAAACCATTTGACACATCTCGTACAGCCTCAGTGTTTCTGTACAACACGCGATTCTCCTGTGATTCAACATCTCTAGTGCAATACAAACGGTACATTGTTTTGTATTCACAACTAAGAGAAGTGGATGGATAAACATGCCGAGGATAATAAACACCGTTCACAAAGGTACGCCCACATATCTATCATCAGTTTATTATCGCTGCAAAATTTGACATAATTAACACGATCGAGGTTTGAGAATTACGAGTTTTGTCTATAGCTTATTGGGAAACAGTGTGCTAAAGGGGTTCGTTTGAGAACAGTATTTATATTACTCGACCTGTTAAGAACGGAGTTCACTTTAAGTGTCGGTACGGACCGGTAAGCATTTGCGTTTTGTGATATCACTTTTCGACTGATGCCAGTGCTTGTGAATGCAAAACAATGTAACGTTTGTGTTACATTGGAGATGTTTACTCACAGGAGTATTGCATGTTATACGGAAACATTGAAGTTGTACGAGATGTGTCAAATGGTTTGACGATACGGGCACATCGATTAAATCTTCTCCAGTCAACATGTGGTGTAGCCTATCCAAGCTTTGCAAAATCAGCATTTGTAGAAAATATTTTTTTCAACATCCTTCAGAATATGCTGATAATTTTTGATCTGACTCGCCTACTGCTACGTCACTAAAATTTCTGCGTCGAGGCTAAAGGACTACCGGTCAGTGCGGGCTTTGACCAAAGTTATATACATCAGGGGTAAAGGATTGTGGGTTTGGGCTAAAGTATTTCCGGTTTTGAATAAAGCATTTCGGATTTTGGTTTTGGCTAAAGGCTTACGGGTCGAGACTAACGGACTGTGGGTTTGGCTAAAGCTCGATGGGAAAAGGTGTAGACAGCGATCAAATTTCCTATAAACTACTTCTTGGTAGAGTGATCATGAAAGCATTTGCACGTGTCACAATTTTGTTTCAGTGGTTACACAGTAACTTTTCGATCTCGACGGCCACTTGTTTCTACTTCGAAAGAACCATATACCACAACCACACAGCGTAGAAACGTCCACGAGATATCTGAACAATATACGACACAACCGAGATATCGATTTCACAGTTGCATAAATAGATAAATGGGATCAAATGATCAAAGCAATCTGTGATGCACAGGGAGTCTTATATAGGAAAGATGTGTCTGATAATACCAGAGTTATTTACCTGGGCACTAAAGTCAACGATTATATTACATGCAATACTGGAAAAAGGGAGAGGGAGGATGACCTATCCAAGTCGTAATTAGTTACACTATCCACGAGATACCAGAGTTGTACCCTCACCGTTCGATAAGCCCCATGCAACTTAACTCGGTTACATAAAGATAGATTTTTTACCTATAGTTTGCGTTACATTTACATGCTCAAATCTTGTTTCATTATCTTTTTCCAATTGCAGTGTGTTCTTGAAAAGGGTAGTGCATCTGATGGACCTAATTATGTAATGGACTGGAATATATGCAACTTTAATTCTCCTTCATCGGAGGTGAAAGTTGTGCAAAACAAATCAACCGAGGCTTCCGATATTTATGAAATCAATTAAGTTATTCAGATAAGACTGACTTGACTTATTCCAACCAGGGGTCCACGGGTAAAGATATTCATGGTATCACTCCGGAGGTTGTGTGTGTTAAGACGGAGCTTAAGCAACCCGTTCGATCGGTAACGCCTCCGAGTCAGGCCACACTCACACTCGCAACGTTCCAGACAATCTGAGCCCGATTGGATGATTACAGATAGAATCAGCCATTGTTTGTTCGATCGATCAATCAATATGTGAAGGACGCAATCTGATTGGTGCATCACTGCGCCGTTCTCGTATGCGTGACTTGTCCTATATATTTGCGTATCGAAACCTAACTGAAAAAATACACACTGACTGTTGTCTGCAGCTCTGGTCCCTTTCCGCGTTATCGTTGAGGGTTGGGCAAGAGTGGCTCGTGTTAGTTGTACGTCTAGCGTTGGAACATAATCACCGCAGCCGTCTAAATTTCCAACTTGATATCATCCTATGGCAGCTCTTTGATTGGTCACTTCCGTTTACCTCGATTTAGTTGTACATTAAATAAAATGCGGTGAAATTTCATTATTAGTTCTGGTAGTCGTATCATGCGTTCTTCGTCGACTATATTACTCCGATGTTAGGGCATCGGTTTGTAACTCGAAATGTGTTGGTTGGAATCCGGCTGTGTGCCGGAAAGCAGGTACTACTAACCAGTTCCGATACTAGAGTGAAATAGCTGGCTACTGCGTCTTCGTGTGTGTGTGTGTGTGCGTGTGCATAGCACTTGTGCTCTTGCCAAATCTGTGCTTGTATTACAGTGTATTTTTGACACCTGACTCTGATTAGTCGGAGACATAACATTTAGCCGATGTTTTTTATTGCCCAAATATAAGTGAAGAATTTTAGAATTTTTCAAATTATCTATATCAAATGGACACAGTGAAATTCGATGGTCATGAAATGATTCAAGTGTTAAACTACTGCGT